CTTCCACCCCTGGAGGGCACGTCCTATATTAGGTCAAAACCAAAACCACCTGAAAGCGTCAGAGTTGCACTTCCCTGCATCCCGTTTTCTGGCAGAGGGTGACACAGGAAGTTCCCACTTGACTAGTATAATGTTGAGGTGCTCATACAGATATCTGGACTTCATTACATTTTCTTAACAATCCTCTGGAGTTAGGTGCTATATTTGTCGTCATCATCTCGCTTCTACAGATGAAAAACTGAGGACCAAAGAGGTTGTCCAAAGCTGCTTTACATGTCAGTTCTCTTTTGTGACTGTGCCTTACCAATCAAAAGTTTGCTGGTGAGGGGGCCAGGCCCTGGGTTCTTTCACTCCTTGGTGTCCCCACCTTGGTGCCTTGTAATATTAGACACGGCATTTTGCGTTACAATTCTCACTAGTACTTGCAATTCACCAAAATTAACAAAATCCTCTGCTGAGGGATTTCAGGGATCGGTGACAAAAAGGCAGTATGGGACAAATTTTTTTGACCTCAAACTTTCCTAAAAGCATTCCTTAAATCACACTACAATGGTGGCAGCCAATCCAACACACACAGCCCCCTCCAAACCCCATAAACCTGTTCCTTTGTCAGACAAACATGCCCTGAGGTGCACTCACTTCCCTAATAAAATTCTGTCTGAGATGGATGAGGAGGGAGGGCCCCAGGGGGAGGCCCTCCTCCCGGAGTAGAGATGCTCTCTCCCTGACCAAAGCAGGACCCCTTTGCTCCCTGGTGCTGGTGGAGGCAGACTGTCTCCTGCAGTTGGGGTACAGGAAACAGTGGTTAGGACTGACCCCTAAGAGAAGGTAAGTTCTGAGGGACCAAGAGTCAAGACTGCGCGAAGTAGGATCTCCTACCCACCGGGAGATTTTTCCCGTTCTTGCCAGATTTAGGGTATCTGGAGTCCAATTTTGTTGAAGAAACCGAGCATTTATGCACACACATCAGATTAAGAGAACAGCCTCTGACTTCTTGCCGTGAAAAGAGACTTCTGCCCTAAGCATTCATTCCGAGTTGGCGCTGTTCCCTTATCAACTTGGACGGCTGCCCCGTCCTGACAAGGCCCCTCCGCTGACCGCGCTGCAGCGCCCTGGCCCGGATTCCAGCCCCCGCCCCCCCGCGGCCTTCACACCTGCAGCTCCCAGATTTAATGAGGGCTGTCAGGGATTATCAAGTCGTGAACCCGCTCGCATCCGCCAGACTCTCATGAATGAGGCGTTTTGTTCGGCTCCCTCTCGGGTCGTGTTTCTTGGAGCCAACGCAAAGGGAAAAGGCAGCTATTTTAGGCCAGGGTCTAATATTTGAATATTGCATGATGAAATAGTGGGCCTATCGAGCCTGTGATTTTTGTAACTCTCTTTTCTCTCCCTCTTCCTCGCCCTTCGTCTCACCGCACTCCCACCCCCAGCCCCGCCGGCCGTCTCAGCCCCGTGGTGCCCTTACCGGGGGTCTGGAAACACTGCAGCCGGTGAGTCACAGCTCGGAAACTGAAATGGAGACCACTTGCCTGCAAATCCCCCGACGAAAGGTCACCGGAAGCGGACCTGCGAAGGCGGGGCCACGGGCCGACGTGGGCGGAGCCTGAGTCCGAGGCACGTGGACGGAATCCTTGATCCAAGGTCATTTTCCGAGGGAAGTCCGATGGGGCAAGGCCTAATTTTATGGTGTTTTGAGGCCTAAAAAACACTGGTCGATGACAGAAGGAGAAAATGGTAGTTTGACTATTCCATGGCTTTCGGTTGACAACATTTTGATGGCAAGGGGTTAGAGAAATTTTCAGTGTGAGCCTCCTCACCTTCCACCCCCACCCCCGCCCCACCGGGGAGAAGGCTGAGAGCGCAGCAGAGCCAGCCTTTGGCCTCAGGCAGGAGTCTCTGCATTACAGTTACAACTGCTGTTATTAACAATTATGAGGAATTATCCTTCCCCTGTTTTCTAACTGTGGCCCTCGGCTGCCGTTAGAGAAGAGATCACTGTAATGATTCTCATCCTCCATCCTTGCAGCCCTCCAACAAAGCCTTGAGTGGGAGCTGACGGTTCATAGGATTCTTTCCCCTAGCTTCCAGGCAGAAGGAAACTCCTATCCTGCTTTCAGTTTTTTTCTCTGGCCTTAAAATTATTTATCCATCTACACAAGGAGGAAGGAGTTCCTTCATAAAATACACCAGCCTCTGGAACCTCTGGGAGAGTCTGAAAGACACATGGAAGATGGAAAGCAGAAGGTAACCTGCCTGGAAGTTCACAGTTGAGAGGTCTAAAGAGGGGCAAGGAACCACTGTTGAGTTGGGGATCACTGAAACTGGGTTGGAGCAAGAAAGCAGCTCTTTGTGGCTATAAAGAACCACTCTGGACTGGATCTGCCAAAAACCGTGGGAACACTCAACTTAGAGGTCCTTTGAAGGATTAAAACACCAACTTTGAAACTTTGGTGTCCTCCTCCGACAGGCAGAGGCTGTTGGCTACGACATTTGTCACATCACGTCTGATGCTTGGGCGGCCGGAAGGAGCTGCCCTCCGCCCCCTCCATCCAGCGGGGACCTGGGCACTTGGCTCTGCAGCCGGGGCCGTGTGTCCAGGGTAAGGTTGAGTGTGGCCGTGCACAGCTGCGCGTTGTGGCTTAGGCTTCTTGTGACTGCTGTGGACAGTGGAGTTTACTGTGGTGTCCTGTAACCAAGATTAGCTGGCAATTCCGGAAATCAGAGGGTAAAAATAGTTGCAGAGCCGCCAGCCCCTGGCCAGTGCCACCGCGGGAGAGAGGAATGGTGGCTGGAAAGTGCTGAGTGGCACGATCTTTGCTTCCTTCCGGTGGTGGGAGGTTCTCAGAATAAGGAGATCTGGGCTTTGGATTTCCCCCAAAGGGTTTCTTGGTGCTTCAAGGCCTGCTGAGTCAGTGGAGTCGGGCTTGGGTGAACTTTCAAGGTTCGGGTTTTGAAAGAGGGGGTGTGTGGGACAAGCCAACTTGGGCTGAGCCAGGGGAGGTAACCGCTGAGGGCGGCCGCTGGTTGTGTCCATGGACCTCCCATGGCTCCAACATCCTGTCACAGAGGGTTCACGACCTCCCAACCACCTTCGGAAGTCAATCCCTCAGACCCAAGCCTCCTCTGGCTCCACTGTTCTTGCCTCATGCCAATTCTGCCTCTGAACATGGACGTGTATTAACTAACATCTTCACCCAGTTTCTTCCTCTCCTGTCCCTCCAGGAAATCTGATTAAAGGCCGAGGTCATGGTCCAGTTCCCATCCCTTCGGTACCATCCCATGTGCTCTCCCTTTGACCTTAACCCTGAATCCCTGTGTACCATATTCTCCACATTTTTTTCTGGGGCATGTTCATCGCAAAAAAAAGAAAAGAAAAGAAAGAAATGCTCGGGGCGCCCCTGAGAAATGGAAAACATAAGCTTTCTACTCATGGCCCACAGAGAAGCTGGACTGACTTGGACTGACAAGAACAGGCATTTGAACTAAATATACATTTAAATTCTAGGCTATCCGTAGGAGGCGGGAAATCTTTTTATTTTAAAGCTAACATAATCGTTTCAACTAGGCTTCCCAAAGTTGAGGTGGTATCAGCCCTTTGATATCCTGCTTTGATATCCAACTTGATAGGAATAATTCGAATCATTAAGTTCATGTTTCAAATTAAAGGTACTTCTGAAGGGAACGTGTTTCTAAAATAGTTGATTGAGGCTTTGGCTTTTCGAACCTTACCAAACCTAATTCATCCCTCTCATCCCTGTGCTCATGTAAAACTTGATTTTTTACATTAAAAAGTTTAAAATGTAGGGGGAGGGTATAGCTCAGTGACAGAGCACGTGCTTAGCATGCATGGTCGTGGGTTCAATCTACAGTACCTCCATTAGAAATAAATACCTAATTACCTCCCCAAAACAAACCAAAAAAATCCCAAAATTTTAAAAAATATTTTAAGTGTATCGTGTGTGTGTGTGAATACTAAGATGCTTGCTTCTGGGCTGGCCTGTGAACTCCCACTGAAAGGGAAAGATTTGTTCAGTTCTGTTATCACCAATGCACTTATGAAATGTTTATTGAATTGGAAAGGAGAACATGGATTAAAGATTCTTCTGGGAAATCCTGTTTATGTTATTAATTTGCTTGGCAAGTTCTTTCTTTCTTGAGAGCTTGTTTGAAGGTTCTAGCAGGGGAGCGCAGCTGCTCGTATACCCTTGACCCAGAAGAATGGTCCTCCTCTATTGGGGATGGTCATCCTCTTCAACCAAGTGCGCAGCTTCAGGTGGGATGCACACGGAGCGGTGAAGGAGGAAGGGGACACCTGCCTAGCCAGCCAGATCAGCTGAATCAACCCTGGTGATCAGTGGGGTGACAGATGTTGCAGCCAGATCGCCCTCACATCCAGTTCTTTCTTGATAGCAATAAGACACAATTCATTGCCAGCCTCTGTCCAGATTTAAAATTCCATTTTAGTGAAGCTCCCCATCGTTCTGTGGGTCTGTTGCTGGATGTCTCCAATCAGGTCTTGATTTCTTCTCCCAGTCTTCCTGGGAGGACTCTGGCCTGCAGGCTGGCTCCATTGCCCAGAGGAACGTGAAGCCCATGTTCCAGACTCGGGCATTTGGCCTGCTGTGTCCCCCAGATCCATAGGCCCCATCCTGTGCACTTGGCCCAAGTCAGCCACTGTACACTTGGTCTCAGAGGGCAAGGTGAAGTTGGAAGGGCCCATCTGGTACCCAGTGATGTTCTGTGGGCCTTGGCACCAGACCCAACTGGTACAAATTCTGACTCCAGCACTGTAAGTGTGTGGCCTTGGTCAATTCAGTGAGTCTCACTGAAACCCAGTTTTCTTTTCTATAAGATAAAGGGGGAAAAAATCATGCCTGACCTGTAAGAATGCTGAAAGAATTGGAAATAAGGATGCAAAGTGGCAACTGTAGTGCTTGGTAGCTCTTGACGGGAGGTCAATCTTTTTAAAAGGTGCCTTTCTCACCATGGGTGAGCCACACCATCTTTACCAAGGTCAGCTTGAGCTTCAGAGTCAGAGGGTTGAGGGGAGGCTGAAGAATCCAAAGGCCAGGTCTGGTTTGCAGGAGGGAGTCTTGGCCTAAGAAGAAGTCAGAAAAAAAAGCAGTGGTCCTGAGTATGAACTGAGCACTCACTCCAAACCAAGTACTGTGCTACACATTTCATGTAGGACATTTTATTTCATTCTCACAACTCCCATTTTTTCAGCTTTATTGAGGTATAACTGGCAAGTAAAATTGTAAGATATTTTAATCACAATAATTTGATATATAAATATAAATTTAAATTTAGGGGGGTGAGAACATTTAAGTTCTACTCTCTTAGCAAATTTCAATTATGTAATCTGTGTTCTCAACTATAGCCACCATGCTGTACATTAGATCCTCAGGCCTTACTCATCATTTAGCTGCAAGTTTGTACCCTTTTACCAGCCTCCCCCTAATTCCCTCACCCTCCAGCCCCTGGCAACCATTTTTCTATTCTCTGTTTCTATGAGTTTGGCTTTTTTTTTTTCAATTCCACATGTAAGTGACACCTTACAATATCTGTCTTTCTCTACCTGACTTGTTTCACTTAGCATGATGCCCTCAAGGTCCATCCTTGTTGTCCCAAATGGCAATACTCACAACTTGCATTTTATAGATTTAAACAAACTGAAGCTGGGAGAAGCTAAGTAGCACATCCAAGCACACCCAGCCAGGGAGATCAGGCCGGCTCCAGGCAAGAGCCGGGCGTTGCTCTGAGTATGGGTTCCTGCAACTTTCAGCCTCGCAGCCTCAGCAGGACCCCTGGCCTCCTGAGGTCACCCCTTTCTTGGGCCCCTTAGCTGGGTTCTAGCACGGGGCAGGCACACAGGTAAAAGGGAAAACAAGCCAACAGAGATCATGGGAGGTGAATGGAACCACCCTTCTGGGACAGAGACAGAGGGTGAAAGGAAAGCTTTGTCCCTTCCTGTGACTGGCTAGGGCAGAGTAGGGACCCACGCAGCCCATCCACGTGGAGATGCAGGAGGGGCCCAGCCCACTTCCCTAGACCTTCAGCCTCCTCTTCCTGACTCATGCCTAACAAGCCTGCAGAGCGGGGGCGGGAGGAAGAAAACTGACAAAACCAGTGATAGAAGGAAAAAAAAAAACCCGGATTGGAACATTTAGCTTCGTTCAGGACCAACTCTAAACCGCACCTCTGCCTGCCAAGCCCTAATCGTCATCCTATGGCAGAGTCCCTTCTTAGTCACTGTCTGCCCCTCCAGAGGGACTTGTAAGACAATTACAAGAATTCAGCGATAATCTCTCCCGATTTACATCTTTCAGTTTTTATTTCCCGGGTTTTCCAGAATTTGCTCTCATTAAACATCCAAAGCCAAAGCCAGCCGAAAAGGCTTTTCAACATATGTTCCTGTCTCCCTCTGCCTGATGCCATTATTCGGATCAAAGTCCCATTGCAGTCCTGGGGTTTTTGTCAGCTTCAGAAAGAGGAAAAGGGAGGAAGACGAGGCCTTTGGAATGGAACAGCCATGAGACCTGCGAGCTAGCCAGGCTGCCAGCTCCATGGCCTTGTATGTTGGCATTGGAGATGGAAGGTCTAGGCCAAGAAAGGGCTGCCCGCTGGGCAGAGGGGACCTGCATCCCAGGGAGGCTTAATCCAGTGAAGCTGTCCCCTGAGGTCTGGGGAAAAAGCCAATTCTGGTGTGAAAGTCACAATCCATCACAGCTGGGTTATTGGCACATTTAGAGAATGGAAGTTACAGTACGCTTTCCATGGGGGCCTGTTTAAATCCTCAACCCTCTCTAGCCCTCATAGCACACACGTGCACACACACATGCACACACACACTCTGCAGAAAGAAGAAAGACTCAGAAATTCTTAGTCAGAAGGGAGTCGTGGGATGACGAGGACTTACAGACACTACTTCTTTGAAAGGCTGCCCCGACCCTTCTGAGGTTAGAACTTGGCTGGGACCGAGGGGAGTGATCAGAGCTGTGGGTTACGGAAGCCCCATGAGACACCCCTCAGTGTCTTTCCTCCACATCCCAGAGAACCGCCCCCTCATCTGCTAGTGTCCCAACACCTTGGTTCTTTCCACACATCCCTGAGAGGTTGGATCCCGGGGGAGAGGGATCTAATTTTCCCTCCTGGGTTCCCCATACCACACCCTGACCCTGACCTTTTATAATTTTAGCAAAATGCATCCTCTGCAAAAAGTAATTGTAGTTGAGGATTACATCCCAGATGGGCGTCAGCTGTACAAGCGGCCGGAACCGAGAGCCCAACCAGGCTGAAGGCTGTTTCTCTGTCTCATCACAGTCTGGAGGTGAGGGGCCCAGGCCGGCTGGGAAGCTCCGCTCCGCACCGTCACTCTTACCCCAGGCTCCTTCTCTTTGTTGCTCTGCATCCTTTGGAGATGCTCAGAGCTCCTGCTCCCAGGAGCAAAGGACAGCAGAAGTGGAAGGCAATTAATTTCCATGTAAGCAAGTGATGCCGAAGTTATACACCTTGGTTCTGCTCGGATTCCACCAGAGAACTTAGTTATGTGGACACATTCTGCTGCAAGGGAGGCTGAACAGCATGGATTCTAGCAAAGAGGAGTTAAGGAGTTAAGGTTTTGTATGAAACTGTGAATGTGGGCTGTTCAGTGTCACCAGATAGTGAGAGCTCATTCTTCTAAGGGTGCCTCTGAGACACTCCTCGAACCTTCTTTATCTACCATCAATCATCTATTTATCCATCTACCACCTACCTGTATCATCATCTTCACTGAAAATGTGATGGAAAAATTGACAAGAAGACAGGCTCAAGATGGAAACATCAAGTAAACTGATCATTCATTTGTTCAGTCATTCAACAAACACTTACCAAGTTCCTATGATGAGTCAGGTGCTGTGCTGGGCACTGAGATCCAGACGTGGAAGGCATGTTTGTCACCCTGAGTAAACTTGTCTGTGGTTTTTGAACTTGCCGATCCACGCTAATGCCCAGAAAGACAGGTGAACTTGTTTTGAGCAGACCTCAAATGATGTTTCTTGGCCATCTCCATTTAATTGAAGGGTATCCTAAGATGGCAAGCTAATTAAAACAATTACTTACCATTTGCAGCCACTTATCTTCTTAATGACCTGCAGCAACAACAGCTGCAGAATTAAACTGAATGCTGATGTCAATGTGATTATAACCATCAGCCTAACGTCAAATTTTCAATTTTGAGGTCCATCAAAACGGCAGCAATGTGCTCACTTATTGGCTCTATAATACACCAGTGTTATAAAGTCAAACTTAAAGAAGTATCACTTTCAGTGATTTCCTTGTCTTTTGACAAAACTACTGAAAAGAGCTAAAGACCAGTGCAATCAAGTCTCTAGATTCTTCCAATGCAGAGGTCCTGTGGCCCCTGATTCTCTGTGACGCCTTGTGGGCTCAGGATACAACCTGGGACCACTGAGAGGCAGAGCAG